GTGGTAAATTCTAAAATGAGAATACGACATAATAGATCATTGAATCTATGTATAAGATAATTTGATACAATAAGAGAAACGAACCTCTTCCTTTTATATGCATATATTATCATTGTATTTATGCATATTTAGTTCATGTCATATATTTTTTTATTACATACTTATATTTAAGTATTTAATATATGATTTTTTAAAAAACATTAACTCTATGATTATCTTTACTAATATTATGGTATGTTCATTTAATGACAAATACATGTTACTTTGGCAATATTAGGTTGGGACAAATTTATTTAAGCAAGAGAGAGAGTGAGAGAGAGAGAGAGAGAAAAAGAGAGATTAATAGATATAACATTAATGAGATGCATATTAATTGAGATAGAGAATCACAAAAAGAGCAAAGGATCAATATGGGATAAATTAAAATCATGTAGACAATTTTTGTTTTATTTCTTTGAAAGTGAAATCAAGTGGACAAACCATTGTTGGAAAAATCGGGTGATCTAAGCAGTAACCGCCAGGTTAGATCAGAACACCGGCCGGTTTCGGTTTTGGGCGGTTTTGATGTTCAGCCGATATTTAAAAAATAATAAATTCAAAAATATGTTTATAAATTTTCAAAAATAAGGAATTTGGTTTGTAATGTATTTTTAATATTCTTTGCATTATGACAAAGATTAAAAATTATTTTGGTCATTAATACTCACTTTTATATTTTCCCATCTTTTGAAAAAAAATTTAAAATACCCCTAGGCACAAATTGATTCTTTAAAATTCGATTTTTTCATTAATTTTCAACTTCCTTTGAATGGGTTAAAATTGAATTGGCCGGTTTACCGGTTAGGCTGGTTAAACCGCTTCCGGGGCCATGTCCGGTTAACCGTTCTGGTTCGATTTTGCGAACATTGGGACAAACTTTGAAAATCAAAAGGACACTGGTCAAAATAATAAAAGGGGACGTCCTCTCGATTAATATATAACTAGTGAAATGTACCTGCTTGGCAGGTCTCCTCATAATGTTATTTCTAATGTGTTAATTGATACAAGAATTATGCGATAATATATTAAATCAGAAAATATGACTATGCCTCTCTTCACAATATGTAATAGAATAATATATAAGCTTAGCAAATTGAGACATACAAAATTGTGCGAACTATCGAGGGATCAAATTTATGAGTCACACTATGAAGCTATGTAAGATAGTACCTCGAGATCAAATTTATGAGGGATCAAATTTAAGAGTCATTATTGATTTAGAGAAAGCTTATGATAAAGTACCTCGAGAATTGATTTGGTGGGTGTTGAAAAAGAAATGAATCTCTAGACACGACGTCGCCTTGGTAAAAGATATGTCTAAGGGATCACTGAGTAGTGTGTGGAACAACTAGTGGGGAGACAAGTGAGTTTTTCCTGACAATAGGTCTGCATCAGGGATCAGCATTGAGCCCATACCTTTTTGTCTTAGTTATGGACGACTTAACTAAGCAACTATAAGATGAGATACCACGGTGTACGTTGCTCGCGGACGACATAGTTTTGATCAATGAGACCCGAAACGACATCCATACATAGTTAGAACTTTGGAGGGATGCTCTTGAATCTAAAGGTTTTAAAATTAGCCAGACTATGACAGGGTATATAGAATGCAAATTTAGTAATAATAGGAGTAGAGATGAGGAAGTCATTAAGATTGATGGACAATAAATACCAAAATGAGTGAACTTTCAATAACTTGAGTCGATAATCCAGGAAAATATAAAGAATGAGGAAGATGTCGCACATAGAATTAGAGCTGGGTGGGCGAAGTAGAGATGTGCAACTGGAGTTTTATGTGATAGTCGCATATCAATGAAGATGAAGGGAAAGTTTTATAGGACAGTTGTGAGACCAGTTTTGCCTTATGGGGAAATGTTAGGTGGTGAAGGAAAAACATACCAAAGAATGAGTATAGTTGAGATAAGGATGTTGAGATGAATGAGTAGCAAGACAAGAAGGAATAATATTCAAAATAAATGAACTTGGGAGAATTTAGGTGTGGCACCAATAAGCGATTAGATATGAGAAAATAGTATTCGGTGGGCCAGTCATGTGCAGCGCATACCCAATATAACAGTTGTTAAGAGATACGAGTCAATTCAAGTGGAAGGTTCTAAAAGAGCAAGGGGTAGGCCCAAAGAACATGATTGGAAGCAATGAAAAAAGATGTAAGGACTTATGGCCTCATTGAGGGTATGACCCTTGATAAAGAAAAATGGCGAACTAAGATTCATGTAGCCCAAACCTAATTAGTTGGGAAAAGACTCTGATGATGACGATGATGATGATGATTTATGTGATATTTAAAATAATTATTTATATAATATTTAAAATAACATATAAAAATTAATGTAACAAAGTAACTAAGAGATGATATTTATTATGATTATACTTCAATTACAAATATATTTGTTAATTGTAAACTAAACTAACTAATATAAATTAATAAGTTCCATAAACAAAATTAACTAATGAATATAAATTAATAAGTTCCATAAAGAAAATTAGAATTTGTCTATTAATAAATAATTTCATAACTATAAGATAATCATAATATTTAATTAGCGTATTAATTGTTTGTGTGACTATTATAATATCTATTAAAATTATATTATTGATATATAATTAATAATATTTATATCTATCACGACTTTTAATATTATAACAATTACTATTACTTAGTTATTATAAGAAACTAATTAAATACAATAATTTAAATAGATAAATTACGTTGTAAAAAATAGAATAGTTGCAATAAAAAAGATTAATTAAAGAATAGAATATTTGATTACACTAATTTTGATTAGGATAAACTTGTAATAAAAATTTCTCACCATTTTATTATAAAAATGCTCTAAGTATAATCATTATTGTTCATATACACATACTCGCTACATTTACAACATCAACCAAAAAATTCTCAAAATAAGAGAAGATATATTGAATAGATAATTATATTTGTATAATTGAATACATATTTATAATTATAGGTTTGTAATATTTTTTTTATATTCAAATATTATTCTAATTATTTGTGTAATTAAATCATATTCAAAATCCCTATTGTATGCATAAATTATCATTGCATTCATGCATATATAATTCAAGTCGTTTATGTTTTTTTTTACATGATTTAATATATACATATATAATATATGATTTTTTTTTAAAATGTTAACTTTTTTTTTTTAATGTTAACTTTTATGATTAACTTTACCAATATAATAGTATGTTCAATTAATGATCAATTATCTTTAGGTGATGTGAGAGAGAGAGAGAGAGATGTGTATCCCACTTTAGTGAGAGAAGGAGATGTATATCCCATTTTTCCATGAATCAATCCCCATCTTTAGGGAGAAAAGAAGGAAAAAGAAAGACATGGATGTGAGCGAGAAGTGATGCACATTAATTGAGAGAAAGAGTGATTTATAGAGAGATTAAAGAATTAATATGGCATAAATTAATATCAAAAGGGCAAATTTGAAATCTGTAAAGACACTTGTCTAAATAATAATAAAAGGGGACCTCATCTCGCTTAATATATAATAGATAAACTGGATATAAATCTAAACCCAAGAATACCACAGGTTACACTTTACAAGATCCAAGAAACATTGAAATTATGTAAACACTTAAGGTGGAAGAAAAGACTACACCCATTTGGACCATATCAAGTATAATAAAATCTGTTTGATTTCTAAAAGAAAAGCGAATGATAAACTATAAAAACACAACAAGCTTCTAATCATCACTCAATATCTTTGAGATACAAGACAAAATCTGATATATGAAAGCAAAGTACTAGCTCAGAGTGGCAGAAGTACAAGATATACCTTCCAACAGGATAAATATCGAGGGAGTTGCCCAAAAATTTGGTCTTTAACTTGGATGTTAAATCATATGAAAAATGTTCATTTTCAGCATGCCCTGCACTCATTGGAGGATGATGACTCACCTGTACAATAAAACTTTACACATGGTACATTAAATTGTATAGAAAACAACATAAATTCAAGTAACAATAGAATACTCAGTAGTACCAGGACAGCAGAATAAAAAACAATACATAAAGAACAAATCAAATATTTGAACAATTACCTGCTCTGCAATGAATGTCAATCCTCCATGGTTCACCATTTCATATGTCTCCCCAAGGATGGGATTAAAAGGCTTCCAGGTTCGCTGAAGGGCATAGTACACAGAAATTGCCCATGATGCTGGAAAACATTAACAAAGGGATTTTATAGTATCCAAAAACAAAGCAGCATAGGACCATAGACAGCAAACTTGTTGCCAAGGCAAAGCATTCTTACAAGCATAGACCAATCGCATGTATGGGTCCTCACACTCATCTGCCAGATCTAATAGGCTAGAGTATTCCAGTATCTGTGGCAAACATTGTTCAATTCAAGAAGGGAGACTTGGCTAAAAGAATGAAAAAAATGGAATAAGTAATGTAGAAGCAGACTTGCAACTGGACATAAGATAAAAAAAATATCGGAGTACAAACCTCTGCCACTTTCTGAATCATTGTCATTGGTTCAAAAATAAGAACCGGAAGTGTAACCATTGATGTAACATCCGAACCGATATACTTGTACATCATCTTCCAGTAACTATCTCTATCCTATGAGCAAGAGGGAATATAAAAATAAATAAATCGATAGGAAGCACAAAATAACATAAGAAAAGAGATCTACAATTCATGCATGCCTGTACACCATGAATAATATACATCATATATTAATGAGAAGGGATGCATGGATATATGTATTGATATAACAAAGTATTTCAAGAATGTGACTGTATGAAGTCTTTCATGGTTCACCATATTTGTAGAACTTGACGAGTCAAAACTTACCAGCTTCCTGAGCAGATTCAACTCAGGTCCGCATCGAGTGGACACTCATGTAAACTTGGCCAGTCACTCACTCATACATGGGTTGAGCAGACTTGGGCATAAGGGTTGCAATGGGTCGGGTATGGGTTGGGTCCTGCTGGACCCGGACCCGATGGGTCCAAAGTAACCCATACCTGTACCCGTACCCGGAATGCAGGTTTGGACCTGGGACCCAACCCATACCCGGAATGCTCTCTTCCCCTCTCTCTCTCTCTCTAAGCTCCTCATGAAATCCATATCTCTCTAAGCTCATACACATTTTCATAGCACCTGCAAATCAGAGCTCTCTGTCTCTCTCTCTCTCTAAGCTCATACACATTTTCAGCTCGCACCTGCAAATCAGAGAACCCCCATCTCCTGGAACACAAGATCAGCCTCATTTCCAAGAAAATCACTTACACCTTTTGACCCTGCAACAAAGCTACAAAGCTTTCCGAACCCTCTTCTGAAAGTACTCTCTCTCTCTCTC